TCCACACCTTGTAGAGCGAACTGTCAATGCTGTGGAGGTTGCTGCCAGTCTTTGATTTTGATGAGTTTTAGTTTCAAAGGCGCCCAAAAATTTCCTGCCAATCTTGGTGTGTATTGTGCCCGTTTACAAAATGCAATTTGATGGCCTGCTTCATAAGTCGTACCTTCCTTCACTTCTTCCCTTTGGCTGTGACATTTTGTGATCTGGCTAGAATATCACGTTTGGGCTACAAAAGAGGGAAAAGAAAAAGGCTTCACAGTAAGTCATAACAAAGAGTGAGCCTGAGTTCACTACATGACAGTTTATGGTAATATGCATATCATCTGTGATGACTGGTTGTGCTTTAGATGTGCCTCTTTCTGTTGAGTGATAAGTCCACACTAGACCATCGGAGAGTAAGAATTGCCCGTTCAACTTTATTGGTTTCTGGTGTAGTTGGCTGTGTGTTATGCATGTAATCTGATACATCTGTTTGCATTTTGCGAGTATATTGAATTGATTAGTGGAATTCTTATTTTATTTTCTATTAATTTTAGATATTGGTATTGTTTAGTACTCATGTAACTTCTACTTGACAGGGAACGTCTATCAAGATGAGCTACCCTTGGATCCCCATTAAATGGTTTTCTACAGGTTTCAATTCAACAACTATTCATTTTGGTGATGTGGTTAATGTTTGCAGTTTTGCGGTTGCTAACACATATCAAGGTTCTTTTGATCTTTTACTATCTACAGTTTTATGTTTGACTTTTATGTCTATATCTCTGATCCGGTATAATTTTGAGATTGTTTTACAAATGTCAGTTTTATGTTTCACTGGTTTAATCATGGCAGCAATTACAACTCTTTGCAGCTGTATCATTGCTTTTTTATTTTTCGATATTGCTTGTTAGGTTCAATTGAGTAATGACATGAGTATAATTATTCATTTAAGCACCTCAAGGTATATAACTTGGAGGATTCATATTTTTTATAACTAAAGACTTTGCTGTAGTACCACTTATTCTTATTGGAATTATAGATGGTTTTCTTTGTTTTCCTTCTTTCCAACTTTTCCCTTTCATCTGAGGGTGGTTGCCTATGTTAACTAAACAACTTACTGTGGTGTTACGTTTCACTCTCCCTTTAACATCTTTAAGCTTATTGTTTAATTTTGAGAAGTTCTTATTTTCCTAAAACAAGTGAAACTGTATGGTATATTTTGCTCCACTGTATACATATTGGATGTTTTAACATGATTAAAACCGCACTGCTAGAAGTGTCTAAGTTCATATAAAGCCATTTCTTTTCTTTTATGAAAAACTTGTTTAATGGTAGAAATTGTTCTAATGTAAGTATTGTTATTTGATACGATATATATAGAATTATATTGCATAACCAACATGGGTTTCTTGGTCAAATTTCTTTTGACCAAGAAACCATTGAACTTTCTGCCCCTTTTGGTTTTATTTTATGCAGCTCAAATCCGTAAATTCGTATTCAGA